AAAACTGGCCTTTTATTTGGCCAATAGTGAAATCAATCCTGCCACATCCAGAGCAGGCAGCAAGCACAAAAGTGGAGGTACACCAGCATTTTAACAATACATCTATACAGCACTTTATTTTACTTTTTGAGGTTTGAGTAGGGTTCATGGTTTGTTTTTGTTGCCTTGAAGTTTTTACAAGTGTAATTATCTCACTGCAACGGCAGATACGTTCTTATCGTACAGAATTGTGACTTTAAGATAATAAATCTGTAAAGTAGCCTTATAATGCAGAAATTAACATACTGTCATCAAGATGATTTAAGATGCAACAAGAACGGTAGCAGTGTAAAAGACACACAGTCTGTCATTATTGGAGTTCATTATTGGATAAATACAGAAGTATGTTGTTTATTAGTTGTGCTGTGCTTATTAGCAGATAGTCTAGTCAAAGCCCCTCCCTCCACCCCAATCTGTCACAGTTGAACACACTCACACTTACTCTAGCAGAGGCACACTCACCATCACAGATACAGCATCAGCAGTTTGCTTTTAACAATGACTGATGTCAGTGATTGTGCTCAGAAGTCTGTTGAGCAGGAACCCACTTTAAGACGCATTGCAGCAGAGGCATCTGGAGACTTGATACACAGGGATAGCTTCCAGACGCAGTTGCATTGTATCCTGCAGGTACAGGATATAATCTTAAACTAAGGGTATATACTGACTAATGTGTTCTTGTTTCTTAAAACTATTAAAACAATTACTACATCTACACCAACTGTTTACATTAATCCAGTGTTGAGGACCCTTGAAAGTTCTGTGACAACTCTGGGATTGTGCTGAAGTTTTGATAAGCAGACACCTTTTTTTTTTTTTTTGAAAAGGATAAACCATCATTCATTACCTGTCTTAGAAGTCACCAGATAAACTAAAATATTATAGAATTCACACATCTTTTGTATATGTATCTTTCTTTTGATTGTACTTGTGCTTGTTCTCAGTATAGGATTCCTCGGGTGGATGGAAAATACTCCAGGTGCTGCTTTAATGTGTTACAATACTGACTTTGTGACAGCTGGTCATGTATCTTTAAGAGCTGCAGAACCACCAAGTTAAATGATTTGTCCTAATTTTTACCATTGGGGCAGTGGTTTTGTTTCTGCAAAAAACTGTGATAATGTGCACATTAAAAAAAACACCTTAAAATAAATTATTGGTGTAACCTAAGTAATGGGTATTCATATTCTAAACACTTATATCTATCGATCATAAACAAGACTATTTGTAATCATGTCACAGCAACAGAGAAACTCAGTTAAACTAATTATGCAAGTCAAACTTGCATAAATTCTATTCATATAATATTGACATTAACATTGGAACTCTATATAATAGTGTCACACAGGCTGAGTCAGAAACCCAACTGGGATATATTTCTAGTCGTGAAAAGGCAGCTGAAAATTCTGAAGAAGAATGTTGAGCTTTACAGTGTGAAGTCATTTAGTCGTAAGAGAGACTTGTTTTAATTAAGGAAGAGTGATCCATGAAAGATGAAATGTTATTGTTATAATAGTCAAAATTTAACTTCCATAAAATCCCAAATAAGGATTATCTTTTGGAAACCTGTAATAAACTTTAATTGAAAACATACACTACATTAATATATTTAGTGATGAAATAAACATTTTACACTGTATTTCATTTAATTACAATCTCTTTTTAAATATAAAATTTAGTCATCAATCGCAAACCAGTAACAAGCAGTGCAGTATCTGGCTGCTCCAGTCTGCATGCTAAAGTATACTTGGGCAAGGTACTGAACCCCGAGTTGCTCCCCAATGGTTTTATCAGAGTATAAATGTAGATAGAAAGCAAATAGGTGTAGAAAAAAGCACTTGTATACATTGGTATGAATGGATTAATTAGGCATGTGGTCTGATTAATGTGGTCTCAAGTAGAGTAGACAAGTATAAGAACCCATACATTTACCATAAACACAATGCAAAAATGACAAATGGCACCAAAATACAACAGGAAGCAAGAAGCAATAATGAAACAGGAGAACTCAGACACAAAACTAATCTTAGCATAGAGGAATGACGTAGAAGGAAAAGTCAGGAACACTGTGTAATTAAAATAAACACACTGAAACTAAATAAACAAAATTGAAAACACGGAGGGAATACACCAACTTGACCATCTAAGCAATAAGCACAGAAAAGAATCAAACATACAAAACTAAGTCCAGCAAAACATTCGATTTTTTTATTTAGTATGGTTTCTATATTTTCTACAGGTTTGATCACATTTGATTACAATAATACATAAATACATACTTGTGCTGTAATTCATGAGGTAGACTTGCCTTTTCCAGTCTATATGCTAAAGTGTCCTTAGTTAAGAACCTGAAACCTAAAATAGTTACTGATTTATCACTGATGTGTGCCAAAAAATCACAAATTTTAATTAATTTTAATAAACTATGTGGATGTGAGCAGTGGAAAATTCTAGAAAACTCTAGAGTTCTCTAACTCTAAGTTCTTAAATTGTAAATATGTTGGTCTGTAGTATAACAAGAAATAATCCAAAGCAAGAGTAAGACTCTCTCTGACATTTGTTCTGCTAGCTCGTACTTGTTGGACTGATAAAAACCCCGATACATGGCAGTTTGTATCTTCTTCATTCCATACAACAAGTGAGCTCAAGATATATGTACATGTACATACTACAGTGCTCCTACTTGGACTACTTTCTGCAGAGTAGCTAACTGAGTAATGGACATAATGAACAACTAAAGTGAAATATTTTTGTTTTATGTGTCTTTTTTCTTTTAGTCTGAAATACACTCAGCTGAGTGGCATTATTTGCTGGTATATTTATATTATATTTATTGTATTATATTATCTATCTATCTAGTTTACATTACAAGTACATTGTCAATTTGATATTCTTACAGTTGTTTGAACTACTTTTTATGAACAGCTTTAGTTGCTTTAGGTTCTTGGGTGATGTAAAGTGCTCTGAAAATGTAAAGTGGATCCATTGAAACACTGAAGCTTACTGTCCCACAGCCTGATAAAAGAGACATGGAAATCACCTCGGTTTGTCGCACATCAAAGTGAAATGAATGTGACTGATTAGGAGGGTTAGGTATTGCTGTATTGTTGTTGCCAGGAGTATGAAAGAGGTAAGTAGAATTAAGTAGAACACAGCATTAATATACCACATTTAGTGCACTTTGTGGTTTTGGTAAAGTGCGACTCAACAACATATTTTTATACTGTTATTTTTTTTAAAAAGAATCATAGAAAATTTGGTTCTTTCAGCTGATTTTAAATCCAAATTCTGAACATGATGGGCTCCTGACAGTTTTAGTTTTTATTTTCTTCTTCATTCATTTGCAGACTGTGTGCTGTTTTAGGGTTTGAGAGTAAAGACTAAATATAAAGTTCCAAATTAGTACAAATTTGATGTGAGGTCAGCAAGTACAGTAGTCATTTTTTTGGATCATAGCGAGCAATAAAATTATTATAAATTTGTTCGCCGCCAACAGAATAAAAAAAGAAAAGAAAGAATAAAAATCCATGGGGATCTACCCTTGTAAGAAGTGAATCACATTTGTAGTGCAGAAAACCCAGGGTGAAGTTACCTGGATAAGCCAAAATCCGGAGGGTTGGTGGTTCAAACCTTGGCTGCTCCACTCTGCTAATAAATATCCTTAGATGCTGGATACTGACTCCAATTTGCTCTCTGATGCTTCCATCGGAGTGTGAATGTGTGTGAATATTAGAAAGCATTTAGGCTAAAAAAAAAAAAAAACAGGTGTGTGTTAAAGGCGTGAATGAGCAGTCTTGTATAAAGCCCTTTGAATGCTAGGAAGAGTAGAAAAGTGCCATATAAAAACCAGACCAGTGTGAAGTGTTAAGGCACTGGTAGTCAAAGCAGTTTCCCCAACAGTCCTTATAAAAAACAGATTGTTGCTGCTGCTCTCTGGGGTGTCTGACAGTGACTGCAGGACCTTTGGAAGCTACTGCTATTCTAGCACACTGAATACCATGGGTAATTTAGCTTCTTGCTTCCCCCAGCAAAGACAGCTAAACAACTAAACACTGGGCTTATTAAACCCATATTGTGTTACTCATGCTTTTCATCTACAAGCATCGGCTAAATCCTTTAAGAAAGACTTTACATTAATGGACACTCAAAAGTAGCTTCTATCTCATTCCCTTCACTGTGTTTGTCACCAGTGAAGTAACCTAACCTGTATGTACCTAACCTAACCTGGGATAAACCTGCAGGAATTTGTTGGTAGAGCCAGAGTAAAGAGCTGAACACAACCTAGTGTGAATCTAATGCTGATCTCCATAAAGTATACAAACATGGAACGGAAAGCTTCCCTCTATTAGCCAATGCCACATAGTGACAATGGGAATAGGCGGAAATCATACAAAATGTGAAAGGAAAAGTGCTTCTTATGTATTATTATCCAAAAAGTATTAATTTATTATCAATATTGAAACTTTCGCTATAATCTACTGTTCAGTTTGTGAAGATCATTGCTAATTATTTTAAGAATTACTATCATATAGCTTTGAAGTACAGCTATCTCTTTGTTTTATAGTTCTCATGTCAAGGGTAAAAATAGGCAACTAAACATAAACCACTGCATGTGTTTATACATCTCACTGCAAATAAGAATTTTGCAAATACAGCAGTAGCAGGACTGTAGGCAAAGCCAACTCTATATGACTGTGGAGCAGACGTGTTGATGCTGGAATGTCCCACAGATTGGTATTATGAACACAAAGATGGACACAACGTACCTACGTCCAGTATAGCACCAGATCTTCTTTTACTGCTGTATAGAATGCTCAGTGCTGGCCCAATAAAAAGATTAACCAGTACTTTGCAGTGTTTTTGTATGTCATTGGAGCTGTCAGTTTGTCTCACCACACTCCAAGTGCTCTGAACAATAGCTGCGCTGATAGTAATGCTGGCAATTTCCCTGTTTTTTGCAGGTCACTGCCAGAGGATTCGCCCCATTGTTGCAGTTTGCCTACACTGCTAAGCTGTTACTCAGCAGAGAAAACATTCAGGAGGTCATCCGCTGTGCTGAATTCCTGCGCATGCACAACCTCGAGGACTCATGCTTTCGCTTCCTGGAAGCTCAGCTGCGCAGCGAGGAGGACGGCTTGCTGCTTTGCCACAAGGTGGCAGGAGAAGCAAATAACTTGGAGGATGAGAACATGCAATCAGAAGCAGAAAGGCCCACCTCCCCCATGGCCCGACATTGTGCAGATGCCCTTACTTCGTGTCGAGACCCCGACAACGATCGGCTAACGATGGCTATGCCTGGTAACTTCACAGATAGCCGGCCAGATTTTGATCGCCATGGAGCATCGGATCTGCCGCGTTGCCCCAAGTACCGGAAATACCAGTGGGCTTGCAACAAGCACAATAATGACTCCTCCTCACATACCAGTACCTCAGGTTTTCCAAGCACATTAAAGGAGACCACCATTAGTGGGGCAGTGGCAAATCAGGGCACACTGCCTTTGGCACAGATCAAAGTGGAACCACAGGCAGAGGAAGAGGCCATTCCTTTGTGCCTGTCAGGGGATGAGCAGGACACCAGGGATACGGATGTCATAACAGCCATGGAGATGGATAACCCTATATCTGTAGAAAGAACCAAGAGACCCAAGTCCCCTTCCTGCCTGCGAGCCTTCTTCAAGAAAGGAGTTGACATCTCCAGTCTGCCCAACACGTCACAGCAGCTATTCGCCAACAGACTTATCTGCCCCCAGGACAAAGGAAACTCTCAGGGAGATCATAAAAAAGACTTAGGCCCTTTCACTGGGGAGGTGACTCTATCTGTTGCATCCCCAAAAGAGGTGGATGGTTTTCCTGCTAGTTTGTCCCACAAATCAACTTCCTGCGATGGGGTTTGCAAACAGGAAGTTGAAATCGACCGCCGCAGTGTCATATTTTCCTCAGGGGCCTGCAATCGCCTGGGAAACCCAGCGCATTCCTACCCTGTTGGGAACTCTTTGGAGATTGAGCTCTCTGAGCACATGACAAAGGGGCTGTGGGCTGGAGCTAGCCATTCCCTACCCACCTCCCAGTCCTATTGTCCCAGCACCACTTCTTCTGAGCCCCAAGTCCTGTGCCGCCCTAGGCCCAACACCAGCTGCCCAGTGCCAATCAAAGTATGCCCGCGCTCACCGCCTTGTGAGACTCGCACCAGAACTTCCAGCTCCTGCTCCTCATACTCCTACGCAGAGGATGGCAGCGGAGGGTCTCCCTGCAGCCTGCCCCAGTTTGAGTTCTCTTCTTCACCATGCTCTAATGTGGCTCGCTGTCTCAATGTGGACCAGCAGGAGCAAAGTGTAGGAGGGGAGGTTGTTTTTAACCAGGTGAGGCCCAAGATCAAATGTGAGCAGTCCTATGGCACCAACTCTAGTGACGAGTCGGGCTCCTTTTCAGAGGGAGACAGCGAGTCCTGCCACGTGCAGGAGCAAGGATCAGAGGTGAGTATAAAACATTGTTTTTCACATCTAACACAGAGTGTAGCTATTATACTCAAGTCCACCAACACTAATTATATTGCATTTACCTGCTCTCCATTAGCGGTCATTAAATCATTGTGTAGTAAAAGGAATGTTCCAAGCAAGATTTAGAGCAGCACAAACTGTCACGGTAGTGGGTCTGTGACCAGTGTTTTGTGTGTTTTTGTTGTATTCTTTGATTATTGTTATTCACGGATTTTGGTTCTGCTTGTGTTATATTTCTCTTCCTGTGCCTTTCTCGTGTTCCTCGTCTTGTCAGTCAGTCATGTCTCTGTCTCAGTGTCTAGCATGCATCTTTGTCCTTGTCTTGTGTTTGCTATTTTACTTTGAAATTCTGTGCCCTATGTCAGTGTATCTAGTTTTGCTTCCCCTTGTCTCGTTATGTTTGATTAGTCTCAGCTGTGTTTCCCTTCTGTTTCCCATTCCCTCTTTACTCCCTTGTATATTTAAGCCCTGTGTTTTCCCTTGCCCTTTGTTGCATTGTACCTTCACCATGCTGTGTTTTCCTCCTTGCTTCTGGTTCTCTGTTTCCCAGTTTTCTAGTTTGAGCTTCTTGTTTTGAGTTCCTAGTTTAGTTTTCTCGTATTTTATGTTCGAACGTTCTCCAGCAATAAAGCTGCCGCCTTTAGTTAATCATTCGGTCTCTGACCTAGACGTGTTTTGATATTATAGATGCATTTTGTGCATTTTTAGAGATGTGTGTCATGAGTCTAACATTTAGAGCTGTCATTGGAGTGACATCTTTTATAAGTCATTTTTGGACGTCCAATTTTGGTCCACTGAAGGGGTTGTTTTGTAACACCAGGCAAGGTCTTTTTTTCGTTCAACATCTCTTGAAGGTCTAGTGTTGTCGTCTGTACGACCTCTGTGTACGGGCTAAAGTGTGGTTGTGGACATCTTTTCAAAGTCAAACAGACTCATTCTAGACGTCATTTTTGTACTGCTTCTATAGGCTCTGTAGTCCCATGTTTCCAGAGGGTGGAGGGCATATTTTCTGTAAAGAAACGTGTAATGTGTAAAGGTGTGATCAACGGACATCTCCAAGATATGGCAGGCTTCTGAGCTAAGAACAAAAGTGAGCAGTTCCACAGTGGGTTTCAAATAGAAATCTCCTCAGCTTCTCACAGGCAGCTTGAAAAATGTGTGTATTAACAAAGACTGTTGAGCAGATAGTCCAGTTCATACTGGACTATTAATTAAAATAAACCAGTTAAAGACAAACAGGAAAATGTAAAATAACAACAACAAAGAAACATGGGTACTGAATAATTTAGCAGGCTAACACATAATAAATTGTGTTTGTTTATAAATAATCCATATTCATATGTATCATGTTGATAACAACATTGTTAATATTTGTGAATTAAAAAATATTATATTTACTAATCATGTGAATTCCCTGCATCTATCATGGATGTCCAGATGACGTCCAAAAAAATGGCCCGGTCTAAAGTTCAAATGGTTAACGTCATACTGACGTCAAAGTTGGACATCATGGTTGGACGTCCAAATTGTGGACCTGGTTTGGATGTTGTACAGATGTCCAGAATTGGTTATAGTCCAACAGAACCAATATCCGCACAAGTCCGCACATCTAGCCGACGTCCAATGTCTAGTGAGTAACCACCAGTGGTGCTAACACTGAGGCAGATGTGAGGGAGTCCATATTCAAAACTAAAGATATTTTGTTTTGCATCTGCTATTAACAAGCACAAGAGCTTCTAAAAGTGCCTGAAAAGCCTTCAGTTGATCCAAAATGCTAGAGTGAGGGTACTGACAGGGACTTGAAAGAGAGAGCTTATTTCTCCCATACTCTCTGCATTTGCTCCCTGTTTAATCCAGATTAAATTTAAAAGTGCTTGCTCTCAGGGAGGTCTTCCCATTGTTGGGGATTTCTCTGTATTAATGTCTTTACCTATAAGGGGCCTTGAGCCAGTTGCTATTGTGCATCCCCAAAGGCTATAACTGAATTGTTATTTTGTTATAGTTTCATTTACGTAAGGACAAAATCATTTTTCATAGATCTGTCTGATCTGTAATTTTACCCACTTATATGATATGGTACTGATATGATAACGATAGGGGACAGTAAAGGTTTAGTGAGAGACCATCACCTGGTCCCCTTTGGCCACACTTCTACCAAGCTTTGCATATTGCAAAGTAATTTCAACCACTACTTTACAATGTCCTGTGTCAGTAAATTTTTAATTGTCTGGGGTTGCAGTAAGTTGGAAGTGAGTAGGTGTGACATTCATGATGGAGCCGTAACACAGCTCAACAGTGCTGACAAGCATAACAGCAAATCCTCTAATCACCCCACCCCATCCCTTCACATCCTCCTCCCTCAGTCTACCAGACTCCTAAATGTAGACAACTGTTGTTTACCAGGTAAAGATCATTGATAGACTCTTTAATTCTCAGAAAAAGTCCAGTGTTGGTGTAACATGGAGGAGATTTCCCATCTGAGAGAAAGATAATAAAATCAGTTCTCAGAGAAAAACTTTATGGCCTAAAAATGCTGTTTTTTTACAAGCAAAATTTCCATCTTCGCTTTGAATCTTAGATCCACTGTGTGGTCAGGGCCTTTTCCATGTTCTCCTCGTGTTAGCGTGGCTCTGGGTACAGTCCAAAGCCATGCATGTTACGAGTTAGGTTAATTGGTAATTCCAAATTGCTGTTAGGTGTGAATTTGAGTGCAAATGATTGTCTGTCTGTGTTAAGTGAAAACATTGCATCTCCAAAGTGTCTCTTTCTAAATGTTTTGTTGTATTGTATTTATTTTTTACCTTTGATTAGTAGCTGTTAATAGCACTCAATTGTATATATCTCAAATAAGCTGTGACACACTCCCCAGACAGCTGGATTGTACAGTCTTTTCGCTCCAGTGTTTGAACTTATGACCTTTTGGCTCCAGGAGGCTCCAAAAGAGCACATGTCTTATGATATGACATTCACTGATATTTGCTTGAAGTGTAGGCAGAATTGGTTTTGTTGAACTTGAGAGCAAAAAGAGAGAGAGAGAGATAGTGGAGTGTTGCCATGGTGATTCATTTCACAGAGCGAGATAGTGCGTTGCAAGGTTTGGAGCTACATGACAGGATTGTGCTTTACTGTGGAAAGAATTTTGTTCTGCTGCACAAACAGAGCTGCGAGATAAAGCAGCTTGGCAGTTATGAGTAGTTATCACATTCACTGCACGATGCATACCAGCCTCTACCATCAGATTTATGGGCCTTTGAAGGGCCTGCTAAATATGCCACTGTAACATGGGATTAATTTATAGCACTGAGCTATAAAACCAGAAGAACAGCCTAAAAATTACATTTCAATTCCAATTGGTAAATTGGAACATACAGCGTATGGCGTTGTTTAAGTCACACTACACAACTAGCCACACAACTAGCCACACACCAGTGGTGCTCTGTCACCATCAGAGTAACCAAAGCAAGCAGTTATTATCTAGTGAAATTGAAAAAAAAATCAACATCAATTAAAAATTGCAAAAGTATAAGATGCATGTCTCTGAAAAATAAAAAATAAAAAAATAAAGTTTAACCAGCAGTTTCGCTGCTACACTGCCATCTTTTTCATTAATAATGTGTCCAGTGTAATAACCACATCACACAGGGCACAGTCCATTTATTTCAACTATGATGTTTGAAATAAATGATCAAGATAATTTTTTAATGTATTTTTAAATCAAGATGTAGGCTTGTGTTTCTGAGCTGATGTCCACATATAAAAGCCGCTACAAGCATATCGTTTAAGAGATATAATGCATTTCTGTAGACTAAACAGAATACAAACTGTTTAAAGTGAGCTCGATCTTAAACATCTATGACAAAATTGTCCCAGCTGCCACAGGGATGAGAGGCAGGGTACTAATGCTGCTTGCAATTGTCCCTGACAGTGTTGCCAGCCTCTCACAGGACCACTCACTTTTTCCAGGATCTGGAGAAAAGCCATACAAACACAGGGAGAACATAGCCAGATTCGTAGCATATTTAATAAATGAAATTGTGTCACTGGTCTTGATTTGAGCTCTTTTGCAGTATGCATGCCAGAACCACGCGACTAGTCACTAGTTGAGTTAATAAAGAGACCTGAGAATTTCGATCACTCAAATCTATAGCTAATGCTGTGTTGGTTGCCACAGTCCTACTTGCTTATGACAGTGCAGGCAAATCTCCACTAGCAGCACTATCTAAGCTGAGCATGTATCATGCATCTGGCGCAAGCAGCATTAGTACCCCAGTTTGTCTCCTTGTAGCTGACAGACCTCCAGCTCTGGCTGTGGTGTGGGCGTAAAGCTCATTCTCGCGTATAGTCTGGCCACAGCAGTGCAAATATTGATCTCAGAGCTAGTGGGAGGAATAAGGAAGTAGTCCTGATACATCAGCACATTGATGTTTTTTTCTGTCAGGCAACACATGAAATAGGACAGGAAATGCACAAACCTTAATATCAGTTCCGCTCCTCTTGCAAAATGCCAAAGAAACTTTACTCTAGTCTAGATATGATGTGGCTGTGGTCTAAATAAAGATTTGCCATTCATAATGTTAGCTTTGGAGCTGTTTTTTAGGCGCATGCAATAGTGATACCAGTACATGAATAAGATGCCACATTAAATTTTTGTAACTGGTGCCTTTGTTACCTTACCATCTCCAGGCAATTGTAGGCAGTACATTAGCATCAACTGAAATAAAGTACTCTTTGGAATTATAGTTTAATGTTGTAATGGAATCAGAAATATGGTGGTAAGAACATCTACGTAGGCAAAAATGGAAGAGCCTTGTTTCAACTAGGAGGATGTTTGTTTATTGCTTTCCAGTCCATGCTTTATAGGGGCAATACATCTAAAAACACAGGGCTGTCTGGGACACAGAAATGACTCCAGTGACTCTCGTCTTTGAGGCTTTGCATAAGTCCTGGAAGCACAGAGACATTTAGCATCCAATGGT